GCAAAGTTCCCGGCTGGTTGGAAAGTTCTCTCTTGGGCATTGTTATCTGTTCAGCAAAGTTGCCCCTGTGGTTTCACCTCTGTGTGTCATTCTTCACTTGCTCAGAAATGAGGCCTCTTAGCAGTTGTTAAATATTCTCAGAACAAGGCCCTAAGCCAATGTCCATTCAATAATAATAATAATTTAAAAATTGTCTCTGACAGCAAGCAAAATGCATGAGTAGCCCCCTTCCAGTGAATTTAGGTTCTGTACGTGTGATTTTTCTTCATGCTTGTTTTGTATCTCTAGTGTTTGTATGACTTTCACAGGACCTATGAAGTGATTTTTGTCTACTGTTTTAAACCAGACTTTGTATATAAGTTGCATTTCTTCATTGTAACAGGAAATATTTTTTTAAATTTTTAATAACTGTCAAAATAGCAGGACATCAATTAACTCATGTTTACCCCATAGGGGATGATTCCTACTTGATGTTTACTACCAGCTGATGCTAATGAATGTGCTTTGTTCTTGTCTCACTGTACAGTGGAACAACTGACATCTTGCTACCTCAAAATCAGCTTTTTGGACACAACTGGGAGTGGAAGCCAAGAAAACTCTTCATGAAATAGTTATCTGTGACGATGCAGACAAATAGCTCCTAGCAGGGATGAATTGCCATTAGGCAGCAAAACGGGAGTTTTACAATTCATGAAGATTTCCTTTGCATTTTTTTCTTTAGGAGGTATCCAAGGCAGCCTAACAAGCATTGCAGAAGGAAAAAATAAAACCAGGTAATTCTAGAAGTTGAGGTTTTTATTCACACTGAGAGAGAAATTCTGGTGTGTTAAAGGCATGCATTACTCTGCTGTACATGACCCCTGGGAGAAGAGCTGGGTGCATGCTGAATGGATTGTGCATAAAAAGCTGAAGCTGTTTAACTAAAATTAATAATGCATATAGAAAAATTGACTGGAAAACTGGCCAGAGAGTAAGCAAACTGCTGACCTACATGCACATCTGACATGAAGTGGTATTTGGTTGGTCTCTTATATTTGAATGAAGAGCAAAACATTTTGCAAACAAATAAAACTGAACTGAAAGTCCAAACTTTCATTTTATACTCTTTACCTCTCTGTCTCCGATGCTGTAATAAAATGGCTACAGCCTCTACTCTCACGTAATCCTTTCCGAAACTTAAAACCATTAGGTTTTATCTTTCTATACTTTCCTTTTGAGAATAGGCATCTTTTTCTGCCAGCAATCCTCAGTTTAGCTCAACATCTATTTCAGTATTGATTGATCCTGCAGTCATCTATTCCAGGTGAGAAAAGCATTGTGGTGAACCATGGTGGCTGTACTGGGGTTGCAGCATCCCTGTGCTCAGAGGCAGGAGGAACAGGAGGGGAAGGATGCAGGAGCAGGTGGGATCACAGACAGGCTCTCCACTTTGCCAAGAAGGGCTTGGTGGTATTGGAAAAGAGGCCATGACTTGTATAAGGGATGTAAACCTTTAGTGGCTGGAGTTCAAAATCCACACACAGCTTTCCATGAAGGTATTTTGTCTTGGCAACAGTGAAATACCTTTACTTTGACCCCTCACCAAGTCCTGTATTTAGCATTAGCAGTATTGTAAGGCATCAGTATTAAAGCATGCCCTAATAATAGAGGTTGCTAGTAATAGTGACAGAAGTATCAAAGGAGGATCTGGGTGTAATTAATGCTCCACTTTTGTTTTCTGAACTAGTACATCCTGCTCATTAGAGAGCTGATGTTCAAGAGCCACTGTGTGAGCTCAGAAGTAGGAGTGAGGAAGGATTGCAGAGCTGCTGTGTTGTGGGCAGGATGTATTGCTTGGAGAAATGTGCTGCAGGAGTCTGTCAGCCGGAGATGATGGGGGAAATGAAGATGAGAGTGCCTTCTGGGAAAGTAAATCTGGGAAGGAAAATAAACCTGTCAAAGAGAAAAAAATCATCTAGCAATTGGTGGTGCTGGGGAAGTAACCTAGAGACTGAGAAGCATGCAGGAGAAAAATCACATGGTGCCATGCAGCTGAAAGAGATAAGAGAAAGAAAGACAGAGGGGGGAAAGGCCCCGGGAACTAGGAAAAAGGGAAAGAAGATAAAAACTTCCAAGATTTATGGACATTATGCACCTGAAATCATTGGTTTGCCATTTGTCTACTACATCTGGAAAACAGTTTGATTTTACAGAGTACTTGTAGTAGGATAGGATTTTTATCCTCAACCCCTGTAAACTACTGCTCAAATGAAAAGATCTCATAGGCTATTTTTATTTTGGTATGTTTATTCCACCCATATTTATTGCTGAAGATGCCTTTTCAAGTGACATCAGCATCTGAATTAAAGATACTGTGAGGATGCCATGAGTCTTTAACAACTAACGGGCAACATTTGGACCCAGGAATGATTTCTGCAATACACAGATCAGGAAAAATGGCATTAAGATGCAGAAGGGCTGAAATTTCCTGTGCTAGGAGACCAGGACAGAAGAATATAAAATGACTGGATCGTTATATTGCATTTCAAAAGCTTAATTCCTAATTCTTGCTGGAATTTGGCATAAGGTTTATGGCTTAGGGAGCTTGATCAAAAGAAATACTGTGTTGATATAACAAGAAAATAGGTGCAGAGGGGGCAATGGAGGGGATGAGTGACGCACACACAGATGGGCCTTGGGGGATTGGCACATTTCAACCCATCCCTGATTGTCTCCCAGCCACCACTCCATCAGGAGATCCATCAGGATCTTCCCCTGCCTTCCTCATTTCATCACCTCCAAATTGTACTCCCTGAGAGTTAAGAGAAGGGAATCAATCAGAAACTCTGCTCCTTTCAGCTGCAGCTACTGGAGGCTGTTGGGGGTTGAGGTCTGATTAAGGCATTGTTGAAAATAGCTTTTGGCTTTCATCTGAAACCACTATCCTCAGACTCAATCAGTGAGAGCAGGTGAAATGTGCATATCCTGTTATGTCACTCAGGTGACATAACAGGTACTGGAGAAGCTGCATTTACAAAAAGGAATTTGCTTTTGAAAGAGCTGTGGCATGGGCTGTCCTGCAATACATCATATAGACAGCAACAGTGACATCAAGTGTATTATTAAAATGTGGAGAGTTTTCTTAGTTAAACAACCATTTTTAAACTATTGTCTATAATTGATCCAGGCTTTCAAATGGTATAAAATATTTCACAAGTATGTTTTCTGCTGTTACTGTTCCACATAAATTAGAAAACAATTAAGTTTGTTCCTTAGTTTCAACACACAGGACAGTTTTGTAGAGGGTCTTAACATGTATCTGTAAGTGAAGTAAAATTTTCATTTTATTGCTATGAATTAAATCCCATAATTTAATTTGTTAGGCATTTGCAAAAGGTCAGATCAATGTCAGTAGTCTCAGCACTGTTCCAGGAGCAGTGCTACTTTATTAACTAGGCAGGCAAAACGTTGTTTCTATGGATTGTGCATAAATGGTGTTTAGAATTCTTTTTTTTTTTAATTTCCTGTCTGTGGACAAGCTGGGTGGAAAAAAAATAATAGCCAAAGTTGTGTCCTAAGTTGTTAGGGTAAACCATTTCAGGCAATAACTGAGTGCAGAACATGGATCTGGGTCCTGGAACACACAGTGTATTTCTAATTTAAAATCATTCTGTAAAGAGATCAGATTTTCCTGATTAAAAACCTTGAGAGGGCTTATATTTAATATCCACATCTACATTCCATGCTGTGCTCAAATTTAATCTCTGTCTAATAACAAGGGTTTATAATGATATTGATTCAGGTAGAAGATAGAAACATCTCCAACAGGATATTTTCACAAACCAAAATAAGGAATGTAACTTCTCCATCTGAGTTCCATAGAGCAAAGGACAGGACCTGAACACCCACACCCACCTGTGTGCTGCACAGGAAAGAGGCTGGATTCCTTGTGCAACAAAGCACCAATAATTACATCGTTCAAAGCTGTTCTACTCCATGTTGAATCTGTTTACAAGTACATGTAGTTGGAGAAAATAGCTGCTACAAAGTTTAGAAAAGCTGTTTTCTGACCAAGCCTTTCAGCCTTTGCTCATTGTATCCACCATTCTGCACCCAATTTCCATGTTGGCAGTGCCGTGCCTGAAGCGGCTGTGAACATATTTGTGAACTGTGACTGCCGTGGGCACCAGCCTGTGTCTTCAGTCCTGCATCTTCTCTAAAACACCTCTTTTTGCTTTATCCCAGGCATTTATCCCTGTGCTTCCCACTGGAAATTTCCACACGAGCCTTTGTGGCTCATCTTAGATCCCACCACTTGCATATGTGGGTGTTTTCAGCTGCACAGAAGAAAGTCACTTCTTTGTCCTTGTTCTATGGGGTTTATACTAGTGAAAAATACATTCATTTATGTCAAATTATGCTAGTGCCAGAATGAAGACAGCATTCCACCCACAAAGCCAATGGTATTTATTTTAATTTTATTTTTTAAAAAAGAAATTATTTTATTTAAAAGCATTAATTTCACATGGACAAGCCCATTCTCACCACCTCAGAGTTCCTGTGAGAGTGACACCAAAATTATCTCAACATGTATTAGCTCAGCTAAAATAATGTGAAAAGATACTATAAATATAACAGAAATATTTTTGCTTATGAGGCATATCTAGTGAAGTGGAGATTGCATTACATATATTCATGTTTGAGGACAATCTATTTGCATCTTGGGGATATCTTGAGATACTCAGAACTGCATCAGAAAACTGAGCAAAGCTGTTGATGTAGAGGACGCAAATTTTTGCAGTGGAATTTATTACAAATAGAGCAACTTCTAAGGCTTTTCATAAAGTCCTTTATCCTCAGAGCTCTCTTCCTCCTTTGTACTTTTGAAGGGAAGGTGATTTAACACTCATACAGTGATAGCATCAATTTCCCATAAAATTCTTGCTGTGTTTACTGCCAGCTGAAGTGTTTCATTAACTCAGGACTAAATGGCGCTCAGCTGATGCCACAGTCACGTTCCAAAGCCAGACAATTCACCACTCATTGCCTCCCCTGGTGCAGCTCAGGGGGGTGCAGATGCAGACATGTGTGTGTAAGAACATTTGGAGAGGGAAGCCCTTGTTGTTTTCCCCTCCTCTTCCTCACCAGCCTCTCCCCGTATGGCGGGGGGCTTTTGCGGGGCACAGCAGGTGAAGGTGGCCAGGAAGGCCGTGCGGAATCTCTTGTTCATGAAGCAGTAGATGATGGGGTTCACGCAGGCAGACGTGTAGGACAGCAAGTGGATGAAGGAGATGGGAGCCCCCGAGAGACGCCGGTCAGCGGAAGCTGTGTCGAAGGCTCGCCAGGCATTGACACTGAAGATGGGAGTCCAGCAGATGAAAAACAAAACCACTATCACCATCAGCATGCGGATGACAAGCTTCTTGGCCATTAAGTTGGCAGAAGAGCTGTTGCTTCTCACTCTCTCTATTTTGTTGTGGCTCATAGCAGAGAGCTGTTGCAATGGCATTTTCCTTTTTCTTTTGGTTTTGTTGAGGTAACATCCATCTCCATCCTCGTACTTGGCGCTGCAGGTACTTATTCTTCTTTCTGTACATATAAAGTGCTGTTTAAATAGTTGGCAAAATATCTCTGAACAGTCGGCCAAATAAAAAATGAAGAATGCAGTCTAAATCTAAATAAACAACATAATTCATAGCTGAGCAACTGTTGCAAAGAAAGCACTGGCCTGCTTCTGAGTCAGTCGTGTTATCAGCTTCCCTGAATCCACTGCCTCCCAATATTCTCACATCTTACCTCTATACAAACTGATGCAAAAGGTGCAAGAATGTTGCTTAGTCCAGTTTTCAAGGTTATATGCTTCTACTTTAATTTGACAATTTTAATTGTGACATTTATTTATAAAAATGGTCCTTATCCACAGCCAGAAAAAAACCCTTGGTATTTCTATAATAAGCAAATTAGAAATTTAATGTATTCTGCCCTGAATCTTTGCAAACAAGCCATAGAGGAGGTTTATTTGCTAGCAGAAGAGTAACTGCTGGCAAATTCATGTCATAACTGACCATAATGATCACTTTTGCAAGTAGAAAGCTTTCCTTTTACTAGTCTCAAAATGACTGACCGCTCATATCTTTAAAAAGCCCACCCCAAACCAAAATGTATTGTTACCTCGTGAAGATTTTCTCTGGCTGGCATCAAATTTTATTCCTCTGTAGAGTTCCAATGAAATTAGACCATATGCAACCATCATTATAATCCCAGGAATAAGAAAGAGTGTGAGTAGCAGGAAAGTGTACCTAAGGAATCAAAAGATACACTGAGAATAGGGAATGTCAAAAAACCAGAAAAAGTTATTTTTATAAAACTGAGAGTTGGAGAAGACAGGATTTCAAGATTTTTAAAGTTTTTTTTCACGCCAATACAAAATATCATTTTGACATCTCAGAAATTTGAAGCTTCCTACTTCTTCTCCTGCTTCCATCAGAAAGGTACAGCAGGAAAAACCTATAATGGCAAAAAACCATCTTTCATCCCACCTATGCAGCCCAGAGGAGATGGGCACTCTCACAGTAGTTAAAGGGGGCAGAAATTCTCTCTGCCCATGAGTGCGACTCCCTGCTCTAACCAGATGAGTGTTGGATGCCCTGTAGTTTTGGTCAGTGTGAAAATTGCCTTGCAGAAAATTAATGAACATCTGCTGATTCTTAAAGGGGTTCTTGGTACATTAAAAATACTTTAATGTTTGGACTCAATGATCTTAGAGGTCTTTTCCAATGCAAATTACTCTATTATTGTGCCTCAGATCTGACTTCTAGAGGGCTGTGGCACACGTGGGCAAAAACAGAGCAGCCACAATGTGGGTTTTCATCCCTGGAGCCATGAAGAACTCCTAAGGAGGGATCCCAGGAGTGGCAATCTCTTAGGTAAAGGAAGCAGCTTTTATGAGGTTTCACATAGGCTGCTCTCCTAGACAGATTCTCTGATGTGGCGACAAGTTGGGGAAATAATGATGTTTAAATGCATCCATGAGCCTGTGTCTCTCCTGATCCCTGTGACTTTGGTGCAAACTCAGTAACACACCTGGGAATCTGTAAGCAGACACAGAGAAGAGAATTTCATCCTGTACCCTTCCTCCACATGCTGCCAAATACCTGAGACTACTACTGAAAGCATGAACACAAAGTTACTCTCTTGGTGGATATATCCTACCAAAATGGTGCAGACTTTAATCTTTTTCCCAACTGACCTTCAGTATCAAAAAAAAATCTTACGCTGTCTCAGTGCCAGTCAGTGTTCAGTCAACGTGCAAGGACACCGTGTCTAAGTACTATTGCTGTTTGATAGTGCTGCTGTTTACCCTGCCTGGATGTGTAGGACTGGGAACATGTCTTTCCCCACTTCCCTATGTGCCTATTCTTCATAAGCAACCAAAAGGATTTTCAAATAAGACATTTTCAGCCTCATGTTCTACTTCTCTGCTACAAAGAACTTTCAAACAAATTAACAGGCAAGGCAGCACACGGAGGGGTGTGTCCGTGTTTCTCAAAGATTAATCAAGAATTTCTCTGAGAATGTTGAAGTTTATGTGTAAATGAGTGAAAGCAGTATTCCTACTACAAATGACAGATGCTTTCTTTAAAGTGACAGTTGGGGCTTAGCAGACCATGGCGTGAGAATCATTGCCATGTTGGGCAGTCGTTCCTGTGACAAAGGAAAAGTCATTCAAACGTCAAAATGTAAGCAGCTTAAAAATGTTGGGGTTTTTTTACATCCTAAATAAGAATGATAGAGTGCAAACATTTGCTGAAGGTTAATGCTTGATTTTCCATAGGCTTATTGCTACCACAAAATCCCATTTTCCAGCAGGTAATTACACATTTGCTAACAGCCAGTTATTCTTACCAAGACTGTTGAATGACATCGCTTGGCCAAAGGAGCCGACACATATTTGCTGTGGTGTTGTTGTACTTGGTGAAAGGTACCAGTTTGCTGTAGATTGGGTATGGTGACATGATAATGAAGGACACACACCAGGTCGCAGCAATCACTCTCAGAGCGTGAGATTTTGTCTGCCAGACCCTGGACTGCAGTGGTTTGCAAATGGCACTGTATCTCTCCAAAGATATGGCAACCAGGTTGAAGGTGGAGACACTTACAGAGACACCTATGCATATAAAATAAAGAAAAAAGTTATTCTCTTGTTTTAAAGCTTATGTTTTGTTCAAATGGTCTTAGTAGCTTGCTGTATGCATACAAAAATTTAAAAATATAGCAAACTGTTTATAAGCAAAAATATTTATAAACACCACACTGATGAAGTCAGTGAAGAATGTGTGGGCAGTGGGTCTGGGTCTCCAGACTGCTCCAGACTGATATTCCTGCTCTGCACTTCTCTTACTCCCAAAGTCCAAGAAGAAATACACACTATCAAATAATAAAATTCTGGTAACAGGGAAAGAAGACAATTTTACTCTTAATTATTCTCTTTGCTACTGTGGTTTGTTCACTAATTGCACTGAAATTCAAACAAAGCATTTGAAATCAGTTAATTACCCTCTTAACACAGATGTTCACAGTCCTTTTTTTATTATTTTAATTTTTATGAGTGTCCTGCTTCACTTGTGATCTGATTTTCTCATTCAAGAGAGTTAATCCTATTACAACTTTTTAATTAGATGGTAATGGAGTTACAAACAAGGAGAAACGAAGTCATAAAGCAGAATCTTTGTCCTTCGAGTACCCTCAATTTTTTCTGTTCATATTTTATAAAGTATAGTGTGGTTGTATGTGTTTCTGTCATTGAGGTGCCCAAGTTCACCACTGTTAAATTATAAATATTTCCTCTTAACTTTGCCACAAATTTTTCTTTCAGTAAATGAGTTTTATTTGTCTTTGTGAATATGTGTCAGACTATCAAATGCCAATATTGTTATGGTTTGCTTTACAGAAATCATCTGTAATTGAAAATTTGTTTTTCTACATCTTAAAATGAGACATTTTAAGATGAAAAATTGAGCATAGTTGATGCAATGGTTGTCAGTGTCTGTTTGTCAGGTGATGCCTCTGTTACCTGAGCATTTAGTGGAAAATCTTCACATTCTGACTCCTAAAATAAAACACCTTAATAAGAAGAAACTTTATGTTGGTCTATTTCACTGGATTTTTTAATAAAGTAATTTACACTGTGTGCAATAAGAGAAAGATGACAAAGCTTCAGTAATGTTTTAGGATATTTTTGCCAGCAATTCATTATAATTGTTTAAACATGGCCTTTAGTTTTATTGGTTTTATCTACAAAAAGATGTTGATTTCCCATTCGCACACTTTAGGTGTGTACTTTCACATTACATCAAAGTTCTCAAGGGCACAGGTTGAAAGGGGACCAGCGCTTTCTCTAATCAACTAAGGGGCTCCCAAAGCAGCAAAAACTTTACATAATC